TTAAAAAGTTTTCATTTGATACAATATTTTCTACTACGGTTATCCTTTTTGAGCAATTTAAAATCTGTTAAAAAGCTTGCAATGTGGCCATAATAAATATGTTATGGACGAAGTTTAAATGTCGAAAATTATTTTGCATGAATTATTGAATTTAAAATAAATCGTAATTACTAACTCCATTTCTAGTTGCATTTTTGACTTATTATTATGAACTCATCATTTATCGATTTTTAAATTCGAAAGGTGTATTTCAAAATTTCGCGTGAATACTTTGAAAAGATAACAAAAACCTTACTCGAAAAGTAAATAAAATTGTCCGTGAATAGGCCAAAACTAGCAAGGCCAAAACAGAAATTAAAAGAAAAAATATAATTATTTCACTTTTCACTTTCACATTTTCGTAAAAACCTTGGATGCATCAATTGAATTGGTTCAACCAAATAAGATTTGAACGTAAGACTAAAACAAGATTTGAATTTGTATGTTTGAATTTTCAAAGACACACGTATGCATCTATTTATTTGCTTCATTGAGACACTGTGAATTTTTAAAATAATGTCATTTTTTCATATTTTCATTTTTGCAAATATCTTGGATGCATCAATGGAATTGATTCAAAGAAATTTGAATAGAATGTGAGATTAAAACAATGTTTGAATTCATATATTTTAATTTTACAAAACACACATGTATATATCTAGTGAATTACTTCAATGTGATACTGCGATTTTTTCATAAAAAGGTGATAGTATATCACTTTTTCACACTCTCATTTTTGTAACACCTTGAATGTATCAATTGAATTGATTCAAATAAATATGAATTAAATGGAAGATTAAAACAAGATTTCAATTAGTATATTTCAAATTTCAAAAATGCATATATATGCATTTAGTTAATTGTTTTCATGAGATATTGCGACTTTTTCATGTACATTTTCCTTTTCGCAAATATCTTGCATGCATATATTAAATTGATTCAAAGTTAGTTTTCATATGTATTAACGTAAAATAAGGTTTGAATTCATATATTAAATTTTAGAAAATGTACATATATACATCTAGTTGATTGGTCAAATGATATACTGTGACTTTTTTTTTTTAGAGAAAAGTGATAGAATGCGATTTTTTCATAGAAAAGTAATAAAATGTTATTTTTTCACAATTCTCCTCTTTGCCACCGCCTTGCATGCATCTATTAAATTGATTCAAAGTTAATTTTTCATATGCATAAACATAAAATAAGATTTGAATTCGTTTATTTAAATTTTCAAAAATGCATAAATATACATCTAATTAATTGCTCCAATAAGATATGTGACCTTTTTATTTTAATAGAGAAAATGTCACTTTCTACATTCTTTTCGCAAATACCTTTCATGTATCTATTGAATTGATTAAAAATTAATTTTTCATTTGTATTAATGTAAAATAACGTTTGAATCCATATATTTAAATTTCCAAAAATAAACACATTGTATTTAGTTAATTGCTTTAATGAAATATTGTAATTTTTTTTTCATAGCACACATTTTCCATGAAAAATGAATTTTTTTTTCTATTTTCCAACTTTTGTAGTGTTTGATAGGCAAAATTTTCCAGCTTTCCAAATTTTTCACATTTTTGAGAAAAATAAATTCTTGATGTTTTGGTTGGTAAATATTTTTCAGGTTTTTTTTTGGCAATTGGAAAAAATTCTAGACACAATGGTAGAAATTTTTTTCACTTTTATTGACAATTTTCATGCAAAACAAAATCAAAAGAATGGTATTCGATACGATTATTTTTTTCAATTTTTTTGGCAATTAGAATAAATTTTAGATCAAATAGTAAAAAAAATTATTACTTTAATGGACAATTTCCATAAAAAACGAAATCAAACAGACACCGGACTTTCAACATTTTTCATGAAAAAATATACCAATCAAACACAATTAATTACAATTCCCAATAAAATAATTTTTAGGCAAATCAATTCTCTGTAAAACATTTTCTTTCTACTCATTTTCCACATTTGCAATCAAACGGATCTCTATTGTTTTCAAAGTTTATGTAAAAAGAGCATTAAACAATCTTAAAATTACAGAATTGGGGAACTAATTAAAGAAAAATCCAAAACATGAAAAATCAGTAATTTTGTTTGGATATTTTTAGATTTGGGAAAGAGAATTTTGAAGAATGATAGTTGAAGCAATCTTGGTCTTGTTTGTACTTGATTTGTGAAAGATTTCTTATTTTCCTTTGATTTTTCGAGATCGGTGGGCTGATTTTTGACAAACTGTCGTGCATTATATTTTGAATGTAAAATATACGTTCACTTTTAAATATTTTCCATTAATCAAAATTTATCATATTTTTTCAAAGTTACCCGAAAATATAGGTTATTTGTGTAAGTACACTACGAAATTTTCCCTTTCCACAAAGTTAAGGGAAAATTACGCAGGAGTCGGTATTTGAAGATTACTATTCATAAATCAGGTGCAAACTTTAATTAATCATAAATCAGGTAATAATTATATATTTTAATATTAATATTAATATTACAATTAATCAAATTCACCCAATTCGTTCCAAACCCTAATCATTTTTCTATATCTTTTTTCTCTCTATCCTCTCACTTATCTCTATCTTCTCTTTCTCTCTCAACAGTAGTGGCGCCGCCCTGTGCACCGACGCCACCACCATCGAAGACCACTGTTCACCGTTGACAATCTACTGTCGAACTCACGACGACGATCGAGTAGCAGCTCGAGCACCGTTGTCGGTGCTACTGTAATAAAGGGGCGGCACTGCTGTAATGAATAGGCGAAGCAGATCCACCGTCCACCCACTCAGGTGAGTTGCTATAATGAAGGTTTGAATGGTTAGGTGGGTTTGAATGAAGAAGAGAAGCAGTCCACTGTCCACCCACGGAGGAGAAACAGTCTACCCACTGGCTAGTTGTTGTAATGAAGAGGCGAAGTAGATGCAGCATTGGGGTGGGTGGGTTTGAATTGTGTTTTAAGCTCAGTTCGGGTGGTGGTGATTTTGTGGATTCGAATGGTGTTTTGTGTGGTGGTCATGGTGATGGTGTTTGTGTGGTGGATCTGGCGGTTGTAGAGGGTTTGGATGGGATTTTGTGTGGTGGTGATGGTGTTTGTGAGGTGGTGTGTGGGGTTACAGCAAGTGTTTGTGGCGGCAGCGATGACGGCGATGTGATAGTCATGGCTTTGTTTCCNGATCCACCTTATAAAGGCCATCAACTTTCTTAGCACTTGAACGCTCACTTGGCCATTGATAGCTATTAGTAGCTATCTCATCTAACAATGAATAAGCTACAGCTAGAGTCTTGGACATCAAAGTTCCTGCTGCTGCAGAATCCACTATTGTCCTTGTTTGACCATTCAGTCCGTTGTAGAAGAGTTCGATTTTCACCCAACTCTGATAACCATGCTGAGGACATCTTCTAAGTAGATCTTTGAATCTCTCAAATGCCTCATAAAATGGCTCGAAGTCGGATTGTCTGAATTGACCAATTTCACTCCGTAATTGAGCTACCTTGGAGGGTGGAAAAAATGTTGTTAGAAATTTCCGTGCTAATCCCTCCCAAGTCATGATAGATCCAAATGGAAAAGATTGGAACCATGCTTGGGCTTTATCTCTTAAGGAAAAGGAAAATAAGCGGAGACTGATGGCGTCATCAGTAACACCATTCATCTTGANATTTATCTTAACAGTATAATAGATTTCAAGAAAGGAACCAAGATGAGCATTTGGGTCTTCTGTCGGAGCTCCCCCAAACTGGTTCTGTTGTACCATGTGTATCAATCCCGGCTTCTGCTCAAAATTATTTGCAACAATAGCTGGGCGTGCAATATCGGAATAGTTGTCATTAACAACTGGTCTGACATAGTCCCAAATAGCCCCGTTGTTGATTATTTTCATTTGCTGCTCCGTCTTCCAGTTCTGCCATTGCTTCACGCCCATCCCTCTGTTTACCCTAAAATTAACAAACCAAGAAACTATCAAAGATATCAATAAAATAAATAAAAACAAAAGCAAAGGCAATGGCGCTAAAAACTTGTCACACGTTTTCTATAAAGTGATTTATGCCGCAAGTGAACGGTGTCAAGTTTTGTAATATAGTAATAGAGTTAAAAGTGTCGAATCCACACGGATTGTAATTTAATTTTGTACTAAGTATTATAATTACGTAGCTTTTATTTTATCTAGATGAATGAGTTATGAATCAAAATTGTTAACTAATCTAACGATAATTTTAGTGACGAATTCAGATCCTGTCTGTTGGCACTAATAAGCGAAATTCCTACCGTTATTATAGCAGAATTCATACCATTGGAATGCATCAAGCCGCAATGTTTGACCCTTTGTGTGTTGTGTGGGACCCGCCTGCAATTCCCAACCGTCAAAAAATCACCATTTTCTTTGTGGAAAATCAGTAGCAAACAGGTTCCAAATTATATTGAATTATGACATTAATATATTTAATTAATAAAATATATGTTTAATTAATTAATTTATAAATAAAAATTAAAAAAAATCTGATTTTTGAATTTTCAAACTATAAATTTGATTTTTGAATTGATGTAAAGAATACACTTTATTTATGAATTTTTCCCCCACAGTTACAACACACGAGGCGAGTCTAGCCTTCCTCATCGGTCCAGTTCTGAAGCCCACTAATTCAACAAATCAGATAAATCAATCAGCGGCTTGAAACAAATAAGATGATCGTAATCGTAATCGTAATCTAGAGGAGTTTACCAATAAAAAGCCGCAATCGCGTGAGCCACGCGCCCCGGCGGTACCCTCTCCCTCGTTAACCTTTCTTTCCCAACATGTTTCCCGCACGTGCCAATTCGCCATCCGGCGCCCTCTTCGCCGCACTTACTTTATCTCACCCACTCGCCAAAATTATTAATCTTCTGTCTCCTCTCTTCTCTGTCAAATCTTTACCATCAAATCACCGTCGAAATTACCATAATTACTGATTCTAGATCTATGGGCGATTTAACGGAATCGTCGACGCCGGCACGTCAGGTACCGTTCCGGGAGGATTGTTGGTCGGAGGAGGCCACTTCGACGTTGGTTGACGCATGGGGCCGCCGTTACTTGGATCTTAACCGTGGGAATCTCCGTCAGAAGGATTGGCAGGAGGTGGCCGACGCCGTTAACGCACGTCACGGTCATACCAAGAAGACGCACCGCACCGATGTTCAGTGCAAGAATCGAATCGATACCCTCAAGAAGAAGTATAAGATTGAGAAGGCGAAGATTGCTGAGTCTAATGGAACCCTAACCTCGTCATGGCCTTTCTTTTCTCGTCTTGAAGTTTTGATCGGCTCTAATTTTAACAAACAGCTGCAGAAATTTACGCCGTCGCCTATACCGTTGGTGTCTCAATCGACGCCGTCGTTGTCTCTGCCGTCGCCTCCGATGGCTGTTCCGTTACCGTTTCGTAAATTGCCCTCTGCAATGTTTCCTACGGCTATTTTGCCTCAGAAGCGTCCCTTTTCCTCTCCATCACCACCGCCGCCAATGGTGGATGAGTCGTATTTCAGGAGGAATTACTCTGCCATGGCTGCTGCCGCGGCTGCAGCTGAGGACGCACCTGATGCAGAGGATGAGGGGGAATCGGGTGGGGAGGAAGTTGAAATGAGCGATGAGAGGGGTGGGGAGGAGGAGGGAGATGAGGGGATGAGGAGCTTGGCAAAGGCGATAGAGAGGTTTGGAGAGATATATGAGAGGGTGGAAAGCATGAAGCAGAGGCAGATGGTGGAGCTGGAGAAGCAGAGGATGCAATTTGCAAAGGAATTGGAGGTTCAGAGGATGCAGTTATTTATGGATACTCAGGTCCAGCTCGAGAAGATAAAGCAGGCTAAGCAATCTGGATCTTCTGATGGTATTGTTTTGAATCTTGTGTTATTTCATGAATTTTGTTTGTCAAATTTGTGATATGCAGTGTGTTTTTCTGGGTTAAATGTTGCATATATGAGGTGATTGAGTAGCCAGATATTCTAACTTCTCAATTATCTTTTTATAAGTTTATATTGGGTTTGTATATTTTGCACTCAAGGGTTTCTTACATTAGATGAGAGTTCCTAAAGAATATGAAAGATATCTATCTGCTGTTGAAGTTGAGTTCTGACCTTGATTGTTAGACCTTGATTGTTAAACTGACTCCTTTGTGTCCTCGAATTTTTTTTGCATATCAGGATTTCTTGTTTCATTATGGTTTCTAGCTATATTTATTAGTGTTGTATGGCATAGGGGTGGTTTAATAGGTTTAGGACTGCATAAAAGTTTCTGTTTCTCTGGTAATCATTAATGATTGCTGTTTTTTTTAATTGTTATAATCCTGACTATATGACTGGTGTGCTATTCATTATTAAAGTATGTGACCATTCCTTTGACTCTTGATTGCATTTACGCTTTTTATTATTATTATTATTATTTATTTATTTTATCCTAACCAACCCTTGAGCTTAACATGTTTGAGCTGTCAGTTTTTAAGAAACTTTAGATAATCCGATTTTTCACTCAATTGTACAATGATATATTAACATCCTTCTTTCTTCTGGAGTCATGTGCGATGGCAATGAATTAGAGTTGGTCTTTTACATTGCCTGGTATTAGTTCTGTAACGTATTTATCTCCATGGACATTGATATTGTCAGTGTAACTTTATTTCGAAACACTTCAAATAAAAAGGGTGAAAGCAATGTTATTGTTTTTGACATAGCAGGAGGTTGAGCATTTCCTTGCATTTGTTTATCTGGTTGAGCTTTCCTGTGTTTCTCTCTCTGTTGTTTAGATTGCTATTTGCATCCAATACAATGCTCTAGTTTGCTACTTGCTTTGATATTGCTTTTCCTCTTCTTTCATGGAATAGAGGTTTTCCGAAATTCTATGCTAAGTGGGAACAACCCCAAGAAAGATCAAGTTACTTTCGATTGCTATCTACCAATAATTTCACTCTTAGCAGGAGACTAGCAGGATGTCATGTGCCTTCTTAGAATAAGATTTTAATATATTAACACATGACTATTCTTGCTGGTGGTTTTGTGTACCATTCTTTTATCGTGAGCTGGAATTAAATTTGGTTGAAGCTTTGAACAACATTAATCAACTAACAAGGAATTCTCTTAAATCTCAATATGGATTTGTTGGCTCCATGCATGGGCTCCATTTTTAATACAGATATGATCGTAGTTTAATACAATTAATTCTAAAGTATGGGTTTATCATTCTGCATGCTTGACTTTTGGGAAGTTCAGTATGGACTTTTCACATGGTGACCATGAATGAGGCCGAAGCATCAAATCAATGAAGATGACCCCTGTGATGACTGACTCCTTAGTTCAGATTATGGAGTTCAATTGTTGGATTTAAGGACAGCCCCCTTAACAGAATAATAGTTTTGATTCTGTTGAAGTTTGTGTTGACTCTTTAAAACTTTGTAGATAATAGATCTTAACTTATGGTAGAACTTTAGGAACTTTATACTTCCATATAGCTGTGAAGGAAATATTTTTCCTTTGAGGCCTTTTGAATTTTGTTGTTTAAACTGTGTGGCTACCTACTCAGCTAGTTTCAGGCTTCTCCCAGGTTCAGTAGTCTTCTTCTTGACAAAAAGAACCCTGAGGGCCTGGAGGTTGAAATCATACTAAAGATATCAGGATTCTTTGCCTTTCCACTTTCCGATGAAATTCTTGACCATAAGAACCCTTAGGGCCTGGAGGTTTAAATCATAAAGATATCAGGATTCTTGTCCTTTCCACTTTCCGATGATGTTTCAGTTTCATTTTGGCTTTTTCATTGTTCAGCATGTAGGATTGCCCTATATATCTTGGCTATAAAATTTATCCTCCTTGCGCTTTTCCTCCATATAATTCAGGAAGATAAATTATTTTTCTGAAACTAAGATGAGACTGAACTGATTTCTCAAATAATAACTTGAATATATTTTTTGGCGATGTTTTGAAGAAGTGATTTTAGTTAATTGTTGGATAGATACCCCTTCTACTGGACTATAAAAACAAGAGATCCAGAAAAAATTCCATAACAGATCCAGAAGTGCATTCCATCAATATTGCTTGAATATGCTAAAAAACTAATTGGGAATGCGAAAATTTTCATTTTTATTGGCCTGTATCAGTTCATGGAGAAGGATATAGGTTTTTTATGTTTTTGTGTGGGGTTCATTTTCATTTTACCTTACCTATGTAAAATGATGGTTAAAAATATTCAGATTATGAAGGCATGTCAACTCGTGTAGCCCATTTGATGGTTTGAATTATTTGGTAGAAGGTTGAGCTTGTGTTTTTGAATGATGCATACTGCGTATTGATCGCGCTGCTTGACGGCATAAAACCTAATTATGTGACAATAAGATGCAGTTTGATGTTGTAGTCTAGTAGTGGCCAATCATACTCTTGGATGCATGTAGTTGTTTTTTATCTGTTTATATTAGTGCAACTTTGATACTCATCTCAAAGGCTTTACTATTGTGCGATGCAGATATTTATAGTTAGTTAGCTGTGAGGAAGAGAACTTGATGGCTATTGCTAAGCGGGAGTTGGAGCACAAGTAGCTTTTGAGCCCTTATGACTTGCACAGTTTCTGTCAATATTCCTATAAAAACATTGGATTCAGCAAATTTTCAGAAGAGAATAATTTTCTGTATCCTAGTGAATAGAAGATTCTCTGCTATATTTTGTGTCTGAATTTTATTAATAACTTAATTATGCAGTTACTGTAGTAGGTTTATGTCCTTGATGTCTCCGTTACGCCAAACTCTAGTGCCCATGTTTGGCTTGCTGGAACTTAAAACTTGTGCCTTATTCTAGTGAAAAATGTTGATTTCTCTTGTAGTTTTTCTATATTTTCTTGGAAACATGAAATTATGAACATTTACACGAATTTTTCTCAATATATGCATAGCTTATGTATTGGCCAAGCATTTTTTTTTTTTAATTCTTTGTTCAAATTTTCTGCTCCCTCCAGTTTTTTCTTAATAGGCTTTTTGGAGTTGCTTTTCTGCTCCCCCTCCCCCTCCCCCTCTTGTTTCTCTGCCGTCCCTGGCTTGTTGAAGATAACTTTATTTTAAAGTTTAAAAGAGTGCGAATAGGTGTTAAATGTTTTTTTATGGCTTAATGAATGAATTTCATAGAAATACCTTCTTTTACTTGTATTATAGAAATGTTAATTTTTCCGTACTGAACAACCCATTTTGCAGCTAGATTTTCAGTCGTTTATTGAGGTACAAGATTGATCTTGAAATACAATAATGCATTGCGAATCAAAGAAATATAGATCAGTATTACTTGGTAATCTTGATGTAGCCAACATGAGAGGGGTCGGAAACCTTGATTAAAGTGCCAAGCTCTGGTACCATTAAGCACTTTGAAGACTCCAGCCTATAGAAGAAACCTAAGCATTTGCAATTTTTGCTACACCTGTCTCTGCACTGGGCTAGCTTCATGGGTCCAGTCCCCTCATTGTATGCACTAGTGAAGTGTTCAACACCATCAACCTTGTAGTAATCTGCATTTGAGCCACTTTTGCACGGTGGGAGCATCGGTTCTGCACAGGCTGTGCTCCATCCTAGCAAGCCCTGTGGCCTTGGGCATGCGACACATTGATCCTGTTCGCATACTCCTAATGATCCACATCGTTTAGGCAGTTGGCATTCGCTTGCTCGGTCATTATCCCTGTCGAAGAGCACGTATGTTATGTCCCAGGCACCCCAATCCACGTTTGTATTGTAAGTATACATTCTTAGGTTACCATCAGTGTCAACTCGGAACATAGTGTAAGTGCTATTGTATTTGGGTCTCGAGAATATGTTTGTCCCGAAACTATTTGAGTTGCTTAGATTGAATCTAAACCCGAGCTCGAATGCGAAAGTTCCACCATACTCTGGTTCACAATAGAAATCAAGGTAATCCAAAGTGCCTTTCCCATTTCCAAACTCATTCGATTTGTAGTAAAGCAAAGGCTCCCGTGAATTCTTGCTTTGATAATACATGGCCCAATGCCTTTGCTCCATGACAAAGGTATACGGTCCACTAGAAGGTTCAGTGATGGACAACCGGCTCACGAGCCTAGTTGGGCCACCCGAGGCTTTCAATGCTTGGCCCACCAAGAGTGTATCCGTTGGATAATTAAAGCTTTGCCAAACATATTTACCTTTACTATCGTACAACACCAAGTTGCCATTTGGTAACAAGTCTAGACCAACGACATCTTTATTGGCCGTGTTGGTTTGCCATGCCACTGAGCCATCAGAATCTGCCAAGACCAAGTTTCCATCACTATTAAAGGTCAATGTCGCGTTTTCACGCACCGGATTACCACGATTGGCATCCCAAACCCAACGCATGACAGATTCAGATCTACGGTGACCCATTCGTAGACCTAGAATGAAGGCATTGGGGGTGGCATTATAGAAACAAAGAGTAAAGGGGAACTTAACAATGTCCAATGTTCGGTAGTCAGCTGAATACTCGACAATGTATTCGCCTAATGGACCCTGGTTAACATACTTGAATGTTTTTGAAGGTGGAACAATTGCTTTAGTAGCAACAGTTGAAGTAAGGAATGTGATGAGAAATGGAAGAAAAAGTGAAGGAGCCATTGTTGAGGTATGTTTTTGAATTTAAATAATGTTTACGCATGTATTTATAGGGATATTTATGGAATACCACTTGCCACCTTCGATGGGCTATCAATGGTATTGGAGTATTATCGATTGACTTTGACCAATTGAATTATACCATAAAGATAATTTACATAATAAATAATGAAATGATCGTTTACTATGTGAAACACAATCGGGAAAGGCAAATTGTTCCAAAATGTGATTTAAAGAATGGTTCGATGAAGATTATCTAAGCTAACCATATAAAAATAGACAATAGAAAAACATTTAATCGACAGTTCTATCCTTTTGTGATTTTACTTTTATCAATAATACTCTTAATCTTTTCGTGCATATTTTGCCCCGTTTATAATTGCTTACAAAATGGTCAAACTGCGTTTTATTCACACATTTTGTAAGATTTACAACTTTTACTAACTTTTTGTTCATTTATTATCTCGTATTTTGCAGAACTCCGCTTATATTTTACCAAAAGGTTTGCCAAAAATATACCTTCAACTTGAAATGTAGTCCATGTTGTTTGATAAAATTAAACTTGACCAAATAATTTATAAAAACATTTACCTTCAACTCTTTGTTCACAATATCTAGAGCCATCAATAGAAATTATTTAAAGACGCCGCACGAGTATATGTTTTAGTTTGAAGTGAAATGAAGTGCATATATGTTCCAGTTTGATATGAAGCGAAGTGAAGTGCTTCTTTTACCTTCAAAAGAGAGAAAATTATTTATTTATAAATTAAATGGAGTTATTTGTAGAGGAATAATTTATAATGCTACAGTAACAACTTCTTGTTATATGTAAATCAATACTACATATTGTTAATTTGTGTGTATATATATTTGGAGTTTTGCACACTGAAAATTTTTATTTAACAAATTTTGTTGTAGATCCTGGACACAAGTTTAATTAACTAAATTTTGGTACTGTTGACCTCGTTCTTTGCACTGTTGACGTGGACAATAGATACCGAGTCCACTCGAGTTCTCTCAAACTAATTCCAACACGCGTGAAACGATTGTCAATCGACAATAAGACAAGCTTTGGACATGGGAGAACCCTTGTAACACAAGACAAAAATATTCGAGTTCCGATGAAATGTATGAAATAAATAATAAAATAATGAATAGAGCCAAACTCACAATCAAGATCACACCTCAAAATATATGGCTTGTAGTCAATACTTTTTCACTACCTCCAAATGACACAAATGTGTGATATTTATAGTGTTACATATGAAATAGTCACTATTGAATAGGAGGACACGTGGCTTCATCTCCTTCAACCGAAGCATCACATCTTAGATATCAATTTCAACTCTACGAGCGTATGGTGCATTAAATGTCCCAAAAAGAAGGCGGTCTCCCCATAAGCCCATGCTGACAAGATTGACCTGTTTACTCATTACAACAGTCCAATCAATCATTCTAAAATGATTCCATAAATTTAAGATCTTCAAAATCGAATCGTCACCAGTCTTAGTTGAGCATCGAATTCTACTTCATTGAATATCGCCACTTCGACAAAGAAGCTTCGTTTGGACCTTAAATTTGTCTTTAGCATAAGGGTTTCAGAAGGGGTCTGCTTCATGAGTTGCTTTGATATAAGTGGGCTTCGACAAGTCGAATTGTCTTGACTCTGGTAGATCCTACTCAACGTTAGATGCCACATGTGGTGGAAGGTACTTTAGTGGGTCGGCTGAGCCACGTGGGATTATGTCAATGTATGGTTATTTATGTCATGCGTAGACTTCTGTCTTGAGCCAAATTTCATTAAAGCATGTTTTCTGTTACGGTTAGGTTTTTTACCAACACAATAGACCCCCAAGTCCAAGTATAGATGTTGATATCATAGTTGGAGTTAGAAGTTAAACCTGATTTTTACGTCCTCTCCTTATGTAATGCTGAACTACCTAAGCTCCACGCATTGTTGAAATTTCTTTGTTGAGCTGAAGCAGGTAAAGGCTGAACTGTTGAAGCTCTGTTTTGAAAATAACTGAAATTTGCTTGTTGAGACGAAATAGGGAAAGACTAAATTGTTGAAGCTCTCGTTTTGAAAGTAGTTGAGATTTGCGTGTTGAGTCGAAGTGGGGAAGGACCGAATTTTGAAAGTCACTGAAATTTCTTTGTTGAGCTGAAGCAAGGAAGGGTTGAACTGCTGAGGTTCTCATTTTGAAAGTAGTTGAAATTTCCCTTTTGAGCCGAAATAGGGAAATGATGAACTACTAAGGCTCTTGTTTTGCTGTCAATAAAGTGTACTTCTGAGAATTGTGGCAATGATTTGATGTTTTATACGTTACAAAGGAAAGAAAATTGAGGTGTTTCAACTTCCAATACACGTACAACTGTTACATATTGAATGTGTAATGATGACCACGCTACTGCAAGTTTAGATCAATGCGCCGAGGCTTGTGCGTGAGAGACACACATCATTTTGAGGTGTTAATGACAAAAACTATTTGAATTCAACGCCTCAGATGATGTTAAAAATGAACGCCTAGATTCAATGGCTGAGCTTCGTCCTTTCTTCCTATAAAAGCCAAAATCATGGTTCTCGTATCAGTTTTTTACCTTTGAAAAAATCCCCAAATTTCTCTAGCAATCAAAAAAGGTTTCCAGTTATTTCTGTTTGACGGCAATGTCACATTCCACTTGTATGAAGCTTATTTCTGCTTGGACAAGGCATCGACATGGAAGTAACTCGAATTTCTCAAAAGATGGAAGTAAATCCATCACCAGTTTAAGGTACACGACCATACTCTTGTCTCTATCGGGCCCCACTCACGTTCCCTCAAGCTACTTCCAACATGTATGAAACGATTATCAATCGACAATAAGACAAGGTTTAGACTTGGGAGAAATCTTATAACATGAGATAAAAATGTTTTGGTTTCGACGAAATGTATGAGATAAATAATACAGTAATGAATGACCAACTAATAGTCAAACTCAAAATCAAGATCCCACTTCAAACACTAAAAACTCAATATTATTCAGAAAGATAGAGAATACATGGCTTGTAGTCAGTACTTTTTCATTATCCCTCAAATGACACAAATGGGGGATATTTATAGTATTACATGTGAAATAGTCACCATTGGATGAAAGGACACGTGGTTTTATCTCCTTCATCGAAGCATTATATCTTAGGCATCAATTTTGATTCCATTGGCCTATGGCGCATTAAATGTTCCAAAAAGGAGGTAGTTGCCTTATAACTTTTGCTGACAAGATTGACCTATTTACTCATTACAACAGTCCAATCAATTATTCTAAAATAATTTCATAAATTTAAGATTTTCAATTGTAGATCGTTGCCAACCTTAGTTGAGCCTTGCATTCTATTTCGTTGGATATCGTCACTTCGACAAAGAAGCTTCGTTTGGATCTCATATTTGTCTTTAGCATTGGAGCTTCGAAAGGGGTCAGCTTCATGAGTTGTTTAGATATGAGAGGGCTTCGGCAGGTAGGATTGTCCGGATTTTGGTAGATCCTACTCCACATAAGATGCCACATGACTTCGACGGAAGGTGCTTCGGTGGGTCGGCTGAGCCA